GATGGTGAACGCACCACTCCCTCCCCCGGAGGAGGGCCGGGCGGAGAATCTTTTTGTTTTTTTCCACCACTGACCTCTCGGTCGGTGATACCCAAATACTCGACAAAAGAGCAATTTCCTCTATCTCTGGGTCCCCAGAGGGGACGGGGGGTTGTGGACGATCCAGTGTCGTATCACACTCACCCTTCTCTCTCGCCAGTGAGCAGCAGTGGGAGGATCTGGAGGACGAACCAATGGACTACCCACGCACCCTCTGCTCGAACGCAGGTCAGCGTTACACACACTCAGACCCCGCCTTGGACCGGCTACGAGATGCCCAAGCCGAGTCCCTGCGTTCTTCCTCGCTGCCCCACTGCGGTACGCCTGTAGTTCCGTTGGTGCCACTTGCGCGGCGTCTGGGAGACTGATTGGGTGGTGCTATAGCAGCAGTAGCTGGTCCTCTTGTGGTAAGTCCTGGCCTACGCCAAAAAGTAGGGGCGCAGGTGGCTTCCACGGGATAGATTGGTCTCTCTAAGCGAGATCCCAATTCGTCGGTCATCCTACGTGACGTCTCTGTTCCCTCCTTCAGGGAACGACGGTTACCATACGTAACTGAGACGTTTTCCCTCTTTTCCTCGCTTTCCTTCCGTTTTAACCCTCTATAGGACTAATTGTGAATTTACAGCTTAAAAAATAATTGACTTTATATTTTACATATATTCAGGTGTAAAATCATTTTCCAAAATTGTTTTTTCTTAATCTGACCTTTGACCTTTTTTTTAGGGATCCGTCATTTATAACTGACGTTGTCCCATTAGGGTAAATTCTTTTTGGCAAATTGTCTGAAACTTCACACACAATCAAATGCTTTTTCACTATCTGAAAAGAAGTGAAAATGTCTTACTGTTTCAAAAAACATTAAAAATCTTTATGAACATTTTTTTCTTGTGCTGCTATATTTGATTTGGAACTCGCTCGTGAAAATGTCTAAAACTAGACACAAATTCAGATGCAATTTCACTGCCTGAAAACCACGTCTTAGTGTTTCAAAAGCATTAAAACAACTTTAACATTGTGGGAATTTCAAATCAATTATTGTAGCAACAAAATCAACAAGACTCTTCTTTTTCATTGTACCCCACACATCCCACACATAAGTAGATGTTGACTTGTGCAGTCATCATTGGAGCAATGCTGCCTGTCAGTATAGTAATACCAATAGACATTGGCATCTTTCCTGACCTCTGATTGTTGTATGGATCACATCTTTCAAACTGGCATACAATAATGTACCCAAATGCCTGACTTCCACAACAACCTATTCTTCATCACTGCCCTCACCCTCATTGCTTCTATCCTCCTTGGTCCTCAACAACTTGTTTTATTACTACAACCTGATTTTCTGATGCACTCATATCACTATCATCAATACTTTCTGAAATAAGTACAGATTTGTTTCTCCATCTTACAAAAACGAACCTAAAACACATGCATAAAGGCTATTATACTGCCCGCCAATGCTGGTGAATAGTGCCAGCTACACAAAATATGCATCACATAATAGGACTTGTCAGTTATACATGACGCTCAGATTTGTTGATCTCTGAGTTAATGACAAAAAAAACTTTAGAAAACACATTTGGATGTACAATTATATTTTATAACTTGAATTTATATGTATTTTCAAGTCTAAAATGAGCTTACTATGGAGCCTTGAGAGCATGTGACCTAACATGTGCTAATGTCTCCTTTACTACTTAGTTACCAAAAATGTGAAGCACATGGCTAATAAATTTTAATTTTACTGGTTGAAGGGGATGTCATTTGACGTCACTAAAATAAAATTTTGTTGGTTGAACATTAATATTGAATTTTAAATGCAATTTTCTTAGCGTCATTTATAAATGACGATACCCCAGAGGGTTAAATAGCTTTTAAAAGCGCCCTGTGCATTTTACTTTCATTTTCAAATTAGCGTCAATTCTGCGTCAAGCAGTTGTTTGTTTTTAGTTCGTTTGAGTTTTCCCTCTTTTCCTTACTTTAATTTCACTTTCAAATTAGCGGCAATTCGGCATCAGTTGCTTGAATTCAAGCAACAACAAAATACAACGTAGAACATAGAACTTTTATTAACAAAACGAATAAAAATACACCATGCTGTATGCCTAATATGAAATAACAAATAACTTACACAAAGTTTAGGTAGCCTATACAAAACTGAAGATCAGTAAACTGTGGAACCAAATAAATAAGAAACGCTACGTTTATTAGCAAAACGAATAAGAAAGATTGGAGACACGGCATTGATGTAAAATAAAAAAATAAAAAATACACAGTTTAAATACATTTAAATCCGCAAACACTGTGGAACCAAATAAATAAGAAACGAATGTTTAAAAAAAACTTCCAATATCACCTTAGATAAATAGCAGAAGTCAACAGGCTTTTCAAAATCCAAAATATTTTTTAAAACAGGCGCTTTTGAAAGTACAAGTACAAAGGGCAGAGCTCAGCGGAGCGGACAGGGCGATTCTCTCCTGAGAACAGTCCAATTGGCGGTAAATACATATTTAAACTTTAAATAAGTGTGAAATATATCAGTTTTTTCACTTATTTATATTCGTTTGGACATGCTCATTTGTTGGTGTTTTGATATAGCCTATTTTTTAAATATATGCTGTAAAATGTTATTATATGGTACGGTAGTATTTTAGGTTGTTTAAATTGGAAAAAAGCTAAGATTCTGCGGCACTCCTTGCCAGTTGTCACGGCACCCACTTTGGGAGCCATTGCCCTAATCAACACAAATCATGGTGTTTCTGTTCAAATCCCGATATCAAGACATCAGCTTGAATGAAAATGGAATGTTTCCTGAAAAGTTTAGGATGCCTAAGAAAAAAAAAAAAACGTAAGCATTTTTCTGTAAATATTACATATTTTACTCCGTAAATGTTTTGATCTTTCAGTCTAGAAATGTGATTACAAAGGAGGATTAACTCATAAATGTGATTACAGAGGAGGATTAATTCATTTAAAACAAATTATTCCAGACTTTAACATAATTAAGAGAAAACTACAAAATATGACACTGCATTAAAATATGTGGTTACACTTTATTTCGATAGTCCACTTTAGACATTCTACTAACTATAAGTAACTTTGTAACTACATGTCAACTACATGTCAACTAATTCTCATTAATTTGCAACTACATGTCTACTATCAGAGTAGACTGTTAGGGTAGGTTTAGGGTTAGTAGAATAAGTTGACAAAGAAAGTGTTAGAAGATATTAAGCAGACAGTCTACTAATACTCTACTAACTGCTAGTTGACATGTAGTTGACATGTAGTTACAAAGTTACTTATAGTTAGTAGAATGTCTAAAGTGGACTATCGAAATAAAGTGTTACCAAATATGTTAATGTTGAATTACTGTCTAGATTAAGATAATTTGTTGCACCTACAATTACTAGTTTTGACACTATTTGTACTTGGAATTGAAACACTTTTTAATGGATTTTACGTATAATGGATTTTATGTTTGAAAATTTGGAAGAAAGAAAAGAATTCTTGGAAGATTTGCTAAATTTATACTAGAGCGTATTAGTCAGTGCAACTTGATGT